GGGCACACCTCATAGGATCCCAAAAATGAAGCCCCTTTCATTTGACAATATTGAGTGTGCCTTGTTCAGCTGAACTGAGAATTTAAGCACTTCACCCTGCTCTATCAGAACCCATCTTTCTCTTATTAAAGTCATAGACAGGACAAGTTTTACTTCCCTGAAGCAGGTGCGGGTCTAATGCAATTATTTTTTTAAGTTTACTGCCACTAAGTAGTGGTTTAAAATCTTCTACCATTTAACTGAATAAATGCAATGGAGGCTGAATGGTAATAGAATGTTGTCACTGTAAATATTGTTGCCATTTCTATGGTGTTTTCACAGCTAAGGAAGAACACAAGCCACCTGTGTTTCTAGAGAAGCTACAGAACACAGGAGTGGCTGATGGATATCCCGTGCGACTGGAGTGCCGAGTCTCTGGGGTGCCATATCCTCAGATATTTTGGAAGAAAGAGAATGAGTCACTTACTTACAACACTGAAAGAGTGAGGTTAGAGCAGTTTAATATTATATAATTAATCTCACTGACAAAGATCAAAGTAAATCATGACTGAAAGCCCCTGAAGGTTATATGAGGTTGTAAGAATCCTTAGTGCAAGGTTCACAAAGGGACTAAAGGTCCCTAACTGCCACTTTAGCTTCCTAAATCCCAGAATCAGACCCTCCTGGGATTCACAAAATCCCCACTCAGCTACCCCCAAACCCTGTAGGTACCTAAACTCATTCTATGCTTAAATTTTTGCAGTGAAAGTTCCCTATGTTTCTGCCTCTGAACATGAGCACTGCTGCCCCATGGCAGACATACAAACACTTAAGTCCCAGTGGTTCGCCCATGAGGGGAAGATTCACAAGCCTGTAGGTAAACTCTGAGCCCACTTAGCAAATGAGCTATTTGTGGGGGGACTTACTCAAAATGAGTGGGGGGTAGGAGGAGGATGACCTCTCTTGTAACTTAGGGGTGAGGGTTCTCAACTGGGATGTGGGAGAGCCAATATCCAGTGTGCCTACTCCAATGAATTTAATTATTTATTCACAGTGGGAAGGATTCAACAGCAGAGGCTGAAGAAGCCCCATGTCAGAATAGCCCAATGGTTAGCGCACTCTCCTAGGAGGCAGCAGATCCCAGTTCAAATCCCTTCTCCCCTTCAAGTAGAGGGGGGCCTTGAACCAGATGTTTCCTTCAGGCAAATGCCCTAACCACTGGGCTAGAGAGTATGAGGTTGCTCCCCGCCACCCCAACCCAGCATGGGTGCCTAATGCTAAGAGAGGGTTTGCAGTTGAGGATTCAAGCAGCAGGAGGTGCCTATGTCAGTGGCTTTTGTGAATCCCATTCCAAGGTGACTGTTTCCCACATTCATTGTGTAAATGTAAACATATACGTCTGGAAACAAAGAATATAGGACATAGTCCGCCATTCTGTAAGTATCTTAGGAAGCAGTGCCTGAAAAAGATTACTGTTGTGGATAATCAGCTGAACATGAGCTCCCCCTGTGATGCTGTAGTCAACAGAACTAAAGACGATCCTAGGATGCATAAATGGGAATCTCGCATAGGAGTAGAGATGTTATTTTACCTCTGTACTTCACACTGGTGTGACCGCTGCTGGATTATCCAGTTTTGCTGTCCACAAAGGCTACTGATAAATTGGAGAGGGTTTTGGAGACAAGCTACAAGGATTAAAAAACATGCCTTATAGTGACATACTCAATGAGCTAAAGCTATTTAGCTTAATAAGGGGAAAGCTAAGGGATGACTTGTGTACAGTCTGTAAGTACTATTGTGGAACAAATATTTAACAATGGCTCATCTACCTAAACAGAAAGGAAATGTTCAATCCAATGGCTGGAAGTTGAAGCTAGACAAATCCAGACTGGAAATACGATGTACATTTTGTCATTGGAACAGTTTACCAAGGGCTGTGGTAAATTCTCCATCCCTGACAATTTTTAAAGCAAGACAGATCTTCCCCAAATAACCCTTAGTCTGTCCTCCTGTATAGCACATAGGCTCTAAGTGAGCACACTGGTCCCTTCTAGCCTTGGATTCTACAAGGATGTGAATAGGAAATCTAGACACTGAACTCAGGCTTTGTGAACCCCAGTGACCTTTTAGGGGCTTCTTTGTGAATCTAGCCCTGAGTGTTTATTATGTACTCTTAACATGAAGTAATCCTCACAGCAGGCCTGTTAATGGCTTCATCTACAAAAGGGGACTATGAGGCACATGACTTTCTCAAAACTATGAATATCTCTCTCTCATTCCTTAAAGGTCAAATTTGTTAGATTCTTCCCCAAAGTTTCGACTTGGAAATGCAATTGAAACTTGAGCTCTAAAGTAGTGTCTTGAATTGTGGACAAGAAAAAGACTGGTTACTGAGATATTAGCCAGATATTAATTGTGCATCTTGACTTGTTTTAAAAATTAGCAAAAAAAAAAAACGACAGACTTAAAAATTAAGCTCAGATTCATTTTCCACTTACTGTGCACATCTCTCTCATTCCTTTAGTGGGAGCTGTATGTTCATTAAGAGGAAATATAACCTACTATCTGTAAATGTGCTGCTTTAAATTTGGGCTTGTAATGATATGTTTAAACACAATAAACCATGTCCATACTGGCTGTTATGTAATTTAAGTTTTAATAACCTTTTCTTCTCCCCCATTTAGTATGCACCAGGATAACCATGGCTACATTTGCCTGCTTATTCAGGGAGCTACAAAAGAAGATGCTGGTTGGTATACTGTGTCAGCTAAGAATGAGGCTGGGATTGTGTCCTGCACTGCCAGGCTTGATGTTTACAGTAAGTGCCTTCTATTCTGAGATATGCAGTTAAATTAAACCAATCTTCCCAAAAACCAGCAGTTCTAAAAACTTTAGTTTATACCACAAAGGTTTACACTGATCTCTTTCTCTTTTGTTTATAGTTTCTTCACAATAATAATGATCCTCATCAAGACAGCAAATACTCTGTCAAAGTATACTTCACCACCTTTCAAATACTTACACAAACCAAGCATGCTGGTTTCTTTACTTGCTTAGAATACTACATCTAGCTTATTTACACATGCATCCTTATCAGTAACTCTAGAAAGCAGCATGACATTTTCTTTTGGTCCTTCTTACAATGCTCTGCTAGCATCAGCTTTTAACCTTTATTAGTATTACCTAAACACACTTGAGACGGGTGCCAATGGCAGATCCTGTTGTAGTTTACTACTTAGACCAGTACAGTTTCCCTATTGTGAACGGATCTTAAACCAAAATTAGATAATGTTGGACAGCAATCTGACCTGTTTATTGTTTTGAGCAAAATGTTTATTCTTGTTAAGGTCACACAATAATGGGGTGGTGATGGTGTAACTTGTTACAAAGCAGCAGCTCTGAACAGGACTCTGCTTAGCTTTGTCACACCACATCGCAGAGGGGGACAAGGATAATCTGATTTGTTCCATGGAGTAATTCCATTGAAGATCAATTACATTAGTGGGAGATTAGAATCTGGCCTGGTATTTTCACCCCAGTGGGGAGGACTGTCTTGCAGTGTTCTGCAGTAACTTTTCTGGACTTCTTGGGAGCAGCAATGGCAAATTTTGTACTTGGCCAGGGCGAATGGAGTCACAATGCACATCTTTCAGAAGTAAGGGTGGGAGGTGGTTGAGAAGGCTTAGCTGGTGGGTTACACAGCAAAATAGTGGAGGCAAACAATTTATAGTCTTTTCTTGTGCAGTAAGGACATGACAAAGTGAGAGCAGTGGAGAGAACAGGGTTGGCTGTTATGTAAATCAGTACATAAAGTAAAAAATCTAGAGTTGCTAATTCCCTGCCATTCAAGTGAAAAAATGTATCGGGAGTTTATAAAGAACTGAACAGTACAGGAGTGTGCCTATAGTACTTCTGTTATCTGAGTTAAGAAGGGTGAACCTAATTTGTTTTTTTTTCAAATCTGTAGCTCAGTGGCAACAACAACCTCAAACCACCAAGCCAAAGAAGGTGCGTCCCTCAGCCAGTCGATATGCAGCACTTTCTGACCAAGGACTAGACATCAAGGCAGCATTCCAGCCTGAAGCAAACCCAGTTCATCTGACATTGCAGTCTGGCTTGGTAGAGAGCGATGACCTGTAGACCTGAGCTGCCAGATCCATCATTTTCTTTCAAAGCAGAAACACTGAAAGCCATTGCCTTGACCAATGATTCTTCTATGTCACTTTATGTAAAGCCAGACACCTTCAAGTACAAAAATCCCCACCTTAACCATATATTTCTTATTCCTACCAAATTAGGATAGGTAGCTGATTAATAGAAATATTCACATTGCACAGAAAATCACATTCACTGTTCAGTTCCTTATGCCTATATTGCTAGAACTCTTATGAATAACCTTTTTCATAAAGGCCAAAATACTGAACTGAACCAGATTTTTCAGAAGTAAACAGTACAGTATTTAGCATTGAGTTCCTTCCTAAGCAAGATGTAGATTCTACACGATATTAATGGTGAGAGAAGTTTCATTTAAGGCTATTAGACCATAAAGGAAATTAACATGTATGGTTATCTTTTTACAATTCAAAATGGCAATGCAGCGTGATAGCTACAGAGAACAAGTGCAATATTGTAAGAATAAAACAGGAAGCGAGAAGGAAAAACAAACGAATACCTTGTCTCTACAATGAGAAAGGAAAGACATGCCTTAAAATGTTAGAACTGCCAATACTATATAGCAAGGCTGACACCTTTGTTCTTAAAAAAATTCTTATTTTTTTTCTTTTTTTGGTCAGCGAGGATGCTTATTTACAACCATACTACAAGGCTAATTTAAGCAAAAATAATTGAACCTAGTCAAAATAATGAGAGCTGAGGCATAATACACTACTACAGACTATAAATCCTAGCACCCAAGTAAGGGATACTTTTGGGAAAGAGAAAAATGCCAACAGTATAGTTTTACTACATACAGTTAGCAAAAAGGGGGAAAACTATAGATGTTTTTAGTGTGTTTTTTTTTAAAACAGATCCTGAAAACTAACAGAACACTGCCATTCACACATTTGAAATTCCCAGATCAGCAGAAAGCTATGGAGTTTATGTAGTGGACATTTATGATTGTGTAGAGCTTGTGAATATGTATGAGGATTTTAGGAATGTAGAGCAAGTGGAAAAAATGGACTGAGTCTGCAATCGGAGTTTAAATGACAAGTACATATCATAGGGGGTAGGCTAGTAGAATGAAGGTGGAGAAAAACAGATGTGCCATTATATTATTTTCTTAAGACAACATGTGTAGGTGGTGAATGATAAATATTTGTTTTCTTCCCTAGTGTATGATAACAGACTAACCATGCTGTGGCTAGGGACTGCGTGCAGTAGGTGAAGACTTTAGAATAGAGGCTACTTTCAGAATGCAAAGCAATTCCACATCAAACTGGACTCTACTGTACTAGGCAGTTTTGACTCTGAACCAATTAGTTTAGTTGAGAGGGCAGAAGAATTTTAATTGGGCCTAATGGGGAAAAAATTGAGGTATTGATGGTACGAGAGTCTTTGATATAAAAGGAACATGCTGTATTCCTTACATGAAGCACATATGGTTATCGTTCATTATTTATAATAAAAAGTGTTGAAATCTATCTCAGCTCAGTTATTCAAGTCCATTATTAGTTTATTGTTTGTGTACTACCATATATTTTGCATTACTGCTATACATATATTGTTTCATACCTCTTTGTAAGTATACAAACCAAGTTTTTTTTAGTGACTAAACTTTAGCACAGAAGATAGTACTATTCTATGCAGATTGGTGCAGGTTATGACCACAGTTACAGGCACTACTTATCTAAATTAATATCATACAGTCTGTCATATAGAAATATCCTACCTATATTTTAGAGTAAAGTATGTCTTATTTGCCACGTTTTTCTTGACTGCTAATTTACTGTTTGTTTAGCTTAACTAGCATTATTTTGACACCTTTTATTTGTATTTATAAAAAAGTACTATCATTACTTTGGATTGTTGTGCTGACATAATGTGGGTTTAGCATCAATAAATATTACACAAATAGAAAATTGTCATTTTCTGGGCAAAAGTAGTCATAGCTATTTCTATAAAGGTATCCAAATACAGAATTTGGAAATTTAACACAAGACCGACAAGATTAGGGATGTGAGCTGGAAATAAAGAGATTTTTGAAGTTTCTAAGAAGGGTCAGATTTGGTTTAGGGAATCTCCTTCGCTGATTTAAACCTGGGGGGTGGGGGAAGGACCCTTTTAGCACGGTGTAATAGTTCAGTTTTAAAAATGTTTCATATTCAATGTGTATCTCCATTCATCCTGCACACATTGTTGCATTTGAACTGTCTATAATACCCAAACCATGGTACTTACCCAGTAGGAGAGAGACTGTAATTGTGTTATAGAGGCCATCTTGTGATTAAGATCAGTTCTTGATTATGTTTCTATTTAAAAAAAAAACAACTATTTAGTAGGTACACAGAATTGTTTGGCAAACGGCCACATTTTCTAACACGTTATTTAGCTGCCTTGAAGTACCATTATCCTAGTGTAAGAACAGACTTTACCCAAAGAAAGACAGTCCTCACTCTAAATTGCAAAACACTAAATCCAAGAAGGAAAAAAATGTTGTACTCCATATGTTGCAAGTTTGCCCTCCATATAGAGAATCAAATTGTTCAGTAAAAGTCTAATTTACTATTTGGTTTATATTTAGGAACAGTTCCATACAATTAACCCTACAGCAACTCACTCAGCAAAACAGAGTCCTGACACAAGTGATAGTAATGCCATTGATACCAATGGTGTTGCCCCTGCTTACTTACTACAGCAGTATTTGGCACAGTAAATTAAATCTGATGGGGCTTTTGAGAACCAGAGTACTTGTTTTATAAAACAGCTTGTCCCTCTAATTTGCTGTGGGTGTGTTAGAAGTAGCTCCCATCAAATAGTTTATGTAAACATTTTGCTTCACAGACAAAATGTCTCTCCTTGACTTTCTTTATACATACCCATGCACAAATTAGGGATGTAAATATTGTTTAAAAAGTTAACCGGTTAACCAAGGTCGCAGCCAGGGCTGGGGCCCCTCCAGCCGGCCAGCACAAGGCAGCCCGGGGGCCCCTCCAGCCAGGGCGACGGGGTTAACGGTTAAGGTCAGTTAACCTTTTACATCCCTAGTACAAATAGTAAAATCAGGTCTTTAACTAAAAAGTAAGGCTGTTTACAGCACAGCCAAGTTTTTAATTACTATTTTTAAACATTGAGGATGTTGTGGGTTTACCAGTGCAGAAAAATAAATCAGTGTAGCATAAGCAGGGAGAGACACATGTGCTTGCCAAAAGGCTACAAACCTATGTGAAATTCACTGAGTCATCAAGGTCATTTTATGGAGGGAAATTTAAATTTCCCAGCCAACTACACCCAACTGAGGCTACCCACTGACACTGTCTGTATAATTGATAATGTAACTAGTTACTTTAGACCAAAGAGTTCTCCACTGTCTCAAAGTCCTCTGCAATTACATTTTGTTAGAAACCCTCTCTATTCAAGCATATTTACAAAACAATTCAAGACTACTTCATAAGGTGGCTGCATCTAAAGTTTCAAAGAGCTACTGGGGTGAGGAAGAAGCCTCCCATTAACACCAATAGGAATGAGGTGGCTGAATCCACCCATTTTACTTAGACTAAAAAAAACAAAAATCTGAGAACACATTCTATGGACCACATGTTAATACATTGTGTCTTGCAGACCAGCTACCTTCACTTTCTTGATTACAAAAACTTGGTGGCACCTACAGCAGTTACTTACATAATCTATATAGGAGTTTTACCTACTTTTAATAGCTGGATACAAACATCCAGCACTTTGTGATGTTTCACAGCTATTTGGATCAAAGGCAAATGGAACCAAATTGCACAATTTGGGAACACCCGACTTTGAAAAGTTTAACTTTTTCAGATACATTACCTTTTAAACATTTTTCTGCAATTTGTATGGTAATGAACACCTCAATTTTTTAAAAACACATCTTATCTCTGCCTCCAGCACAGGTAAATAGCCTTTATGCCCAGTACTTCGTGGGGGCTTAAACTTTCCCCTGACTCAATAGAGCAGCAGTTCTCAAACTTTTGTACTGGTGATCCCTTTCACATAGAAAGCCTCTGAGTGCGACCCCCCCTTAAAACACATTTTAATATATTTAACGCCATTATAAATGCTGGAGGCTGACAGCTTGCAACCCTCCATGTAATAACCTTGTGATCCCCCGTGGGGTGCTGACCCCCCGTTTGAGAAGACGATCTGCTCCACTGTTATCAGTGCAGCCTCCAAGTCATAATAGGCTATGCTGCTTCTATGTGCATGCCTCACCTAGGGAGGGGAGTGAATCATCTAATCCAACTAGATTAATCATCCAGCATTTTCCCCCCTCTATCAATTCCCACCCTTTATGGTACAGATAGAGTTCTGCATGCTGCAGTTGAGAGCACCTGCACCAACTCCCCAGGCTCACTACTTATTGATCATTCTGCACCTGTGATAAACCGGATTTGCCCACATTAATCTAGTTCTCAAATGGCAACAAACATTTCCCCTCCGCACCCTTCTGCTGTTTATCATGTGACTTAAATAGTCATGGTTCAATACAAAGAAGAGGATATACTCCTGGAACCCAAGGAGTTCACAATCTATATCATACAGTATGCCCATTCTTTGGGTCTGTAAGCTGGAATTTGGGTAAGGCAAGCATTACTTAAAGGTTAGGTGCAAAGACAAAATAAACTGATTAAATCCTATGCTGCACTATTTTCCTACTAAAAGATCTGGGGGTTTAAAATAAGGCTCAAGTGCACTCCTAGGGAGAAAGTCCAGACTAAGAAGCATCAATACCTGCAGGGAAATGACCTCATAAATGCATAAAGAAGAGCTGAGACTAACTTGGATGCAGTGACTCTAAAGTGACTGCAGTGCCATATATAAAACACTGGTGAAGGGTCAGACTCTACTACTGACCGCACCTTCTACTTCTGTAATAGTACAACTAAGCCAAAAACATCTCCACAGCACAAGAGATGGGGAAAAAGAATAGTAGATGGCCACTGCTCAGACTGATTAGATCAATTATAGCAGAAGCTATAAAATCTCATCACACAGAATGGGCTAGATTTTGCCAGACTCCATTTTTTAACCATTTAGCTAAATATGCTGTTAAAACTGTTTGGGTCAAATTTTGACCTAAAGTTAGCAAAGAACAACTCTCCCAAAGTACAGCTAAAAGGGGGAATGGTATTCCCTCATTTCCATTATGCAATCGCTCAATTTAAAGCCCTCTGCCATTGTTCTAAATACAATGGTTTTCAAACAGTGGTTTGAAACAGAACTATACTTGTCAACTCTTTTCCACTTTTGAACTCTAAGATATCCCTTCCCACATGATAGACAGCATATTTGCTTATTCTTTGCAAATTTTAAGAGACCTATTTAAACATCTAAAATTACAGGTTTTTATCTGCAGTACTTTCCTTAGTTCCCAACAAAGGATTATCATTTTGTATGAAAAAGACTGGAAGAAACACAGCATTGTAATATTTCACCACTGCCCTCTATGACTTCCTAATTGATACATTTCTTCTCCCACAAGTCTTTAGAATTCAGCACTTTCCCTCACAAACCACTAAGTGAATTTGAGAGATTACAGATAAAGCAACTTCCATTAATTCTGAATTTACTTTGGCTATTCAGCCTCGTCAGCTATTAATTCACATATTTCAGTCTGACCAAAAATAGTTTAATTTCCCTTAGTAGGTGGAATCCTGCAATGACTTTCACAAAAATGTCAGTAATATTTTCATTGGTGTAACCCATCTAATAACCAAGTAGCAAATTCTATACAGAGCATAGGAATGGTAATCACAATAGTGTATACCACAAGAGCAATTCCCTTATGAAGCGGAGAATGAAAGATTTAAGAAGAAACTAAGTTTGTCTCTCTCCAATGTTCCACCCAAAATAATCAGTTATATGGCTTGTATACTATGTGGATTTCTAACTATAAAAGTACATATGTAATATTACACTATTCTCTGCTGTCAGTTCCCTCAGAAGTAATGTACAGTACATAAACATTTAAGGAAAGCCTGATGGACAAAAGTAGAGTTGTCTTAGTGAAAAAACTGTTACCTCTTGTAACTGTTCTTCGAGATGTGTTACTCCTGTCCATTCCAATAGCGGTGCGCACGCACCGCGTGCACGATCGCCGGAAAGCTTTTCCCTAGCAGGTCCCATCGGGTCAGCTATGGAGACCCTTAGAGTGGTACCTTTATGGCAGTGTATATAGGTCCCTGCTGACCCGCTGAATGCTCAGTTCCTTCTTGCCAGAGTACTCCGACAGTGGGGAGGCGGGCAGGATTTGGAATGGACATGAGCAACACATCTCTAAGAACAACAGTTACGAGAGGCAAGTAACCGTTTTTTCCTTCTTCGAGTGATTGCTCATGTGCATTCCAATAGGTGACTTCCAAGCAGTTACCCCCGGGGACGAGTCAGAGTTCACCTAATTGCGAAATGTAGGACTGCCTTACCAAACTCAGCATCATGGCGTAACGATGGGTAATGGCATAGTGGGAAGTGAAGGTGTGAACTGAAGACCAGGTTGCCACCTTGCAGATGTCCTAGATAGGGACCTGCGCCAGGAATGCTGCGGATGCCGCCTGCACTCTGGGAGGCTGGAACTTTAGCCAGGCCATAGCAAGTCCTGATGCAGGACGTGATCCATGACGAGATTCGCTGTGATGAGATCGGGAGTCCCCTCATTCTTCAGCTATAGCAATAAAGAGCTGCAGTGACTTACGAAACGGCTTTGTGCATTCAACGTAAAATGCTAAGGCACATCTAACATCCAAGGAATGGGACATGTGCTCCCCGTTAGTGGCATGGGGTTTAGGAAAGAACGCAGGTAAAAATATATCCAGGTTCACATGAAACTGGGAGATAACCTTAAGCAGGAACGCAGGGTGGGGGCGTAGCTGCACCTTGTCTTTATAAAATACCGTATAAGGCAGTTTGGAGGTCAGTGCTCGGAGTTTGGCTACCCTTCTAGCGGAGGCTATAGCCACCAGAAAAGCCACCTTCCAGGAAAGGTAGGACAGAGGGCATGTAACCATGGGCTTAAAGGCCCCCCATGAGTGAGGACAGGACCAGGTTGACGTCCCAGGGGGGGAACGGGCCAACGTACTGGAGGATAAAGTCTGTCCAGGCCCTTAAGAAACCTGCTCACCATGGGATTACTGAACACTGAACCCCCACCCCACCCCTCCATTCCCAGGTGAAAGGCCGAAATAGCCGCAAGGTTTACCCTCAGGGATGATGTTGCTAACCCTTGGTGCTTGAGATATAAAAGACAGTCCAAAATAAAAGGAATTGGGGCTGATTATGGCTCAGT